GCATATTCTTCTTTAGGTAAATGTTTTGGGGGCAGTAAGGCCACCCCCTGGCTGCCCATGTGAATGCGACCTTAATGTATTTTTTTGCACTGGTATTAAAAAAGCCTAATATATAAAGTAAACTCAACTTCTGAAGGTACCAATATTATCCTTTACATTTCACACAGATTTTATGCCTTATTTCAACAGCAGACACAACTGCTTTGAAAGTGTTTAGACTTGTTCCATACTACAACACACATTCCTCAGTATAAATGAAGTAAGTGATTCATTCAATATTTAAAAATGCACCTTGATAAATATGAAAATATTGACATTTTTTTGGAAGAAGAATTTAGTGAACATATATAAGCATGTTGTTGCCATCAGCTGTGGTGCTATATTTGCATCGAAGGGACTCATACAGCAGCATACAGGTATCTGGACATTATTATGCACAAAAGAAATATTTCCAGCAATGCAAAAGACAACACAGGAAAACCGATAATATATTGTGATCTCACCAAGTTACAGAAAAAAGGAAACATCTGTCCTTTTGAATACCTAGCAACCCCCCAGTGTAGTGTTTACTACCCCTTCTGTTACCGGTTAGTACACAAATGTGAAAATTAAAGGGCAGCTGCACAGAAAATTGATATTTCAGTTTTGTATTATAGCTAGTAAGGTGAGTCACATAAGCACTAAAATACCACGTGAGTTATTTTATGAAGTCATGCGGTATTTTGGTAGGGAAAACTTGCAGTAAATTAATGCCATCAGTAGGGTATTTATTCACAGTGGTAAATGCCGCAGAAGATGCGTCCTTCAGGTCTGGTATGGATTTTAAGGAGAACCCTACATCTAAATTAAACCAGACTTCGAGGGCAACCCCACACCGAAAAACCATATGTCTAAATGGTGCCGGGTCCCCCCAAACCATACTGGACTTTGAGGGTAACCCCACACCAAACTTTTTAAAAAAAAATGGTGTAGGGGTCCCCCAAAATCCATACCAGACCCTTATTCGAGCATGCAGCCTAGCAGGTGAGGAAAAGGGGGGCTAGCAGCATCCCCCCTCCTGAACCATACCAGGCCACATGCCCTCAACATGGGCCTCTTCCCCACAACCCTGGCTAGTGACTGTAGAGGTCTGCAGGTGGGGGGCTTATCAGAATCAGGAAGCCCCCTTTAACAAGGGGGGCCCCAGATCCCAGCCCCCCAATTGAATGAGTATAGGGTAAAATGTTTTTTGACAAATTCTTTATTAAAAAGGTTTTCTTAAAAATTGTCCTCTGATGTAGATCCAGCTTTATCATGATGAATGTCGACTGCCGACCCAAAAAAAGAGAAAAAAAAAAGGCATTTCCTGATGAAGGCTCCTGCTGAATGACAGCACTGCCGCCTCCCACCGCTAAATAAAACAAAGGGATGGGGCCACCCATTGATGTCATTGGGTGACCCTAGCCCCTTATGACATCATCGACCCAGCATGCCCTGGTGACAACTGATGACTCATCGGTTGTTAAGGACATGGCACTCCACTCCTTACAACCATGTTGTTTACTGGTTGTTAAGGATGCCAGTGGCTGCCGACTCCTTAACTATCGCATGCCTAAACCACTATTTATTTACCATATATATTTATTTATTTCCTTTTGTGAACTGACTTTAGCTCCTGTTTTACGCGGTATTTACTGAGTGTTTTTGCTTCATGCCATAAACACACCGCATAAAGCAATAGTGAATTGGCATTTTCAGGATCGCATTCAGTATTTGGGAAAACACCTAAATACCATATGATATTTGCTTTTGTGAATGGAGCCCAGTGTCATGCCAAATAATGTTTGCACTATGTGGTCCCCAATACTAAACTCTAAACCTGTCAAGTTTTTATTGCTGTCTGTTCGTCCTGGTGAGCAGGGGCGGTGCCCGAGGGCCCGGGGTCAGTAGGGGGATGCCCCTGGTACCTTTCATTGGCTTTTTCATAGGCTTTTTTGGGTGTGGGCGAGCACACAGGGGCCCCATGATCCCCTATTGCCCGGGGGCCCCATGAGTTGTCAGTCCACCCCTGCTGGTGAGTACTGTGATTGAGACAGACATGAAGGAAAAGTCAACATGTTGAGTTGTCACCAAAATAAGAAGAGATAAAAAATTTTTCACTTAGACTACCAGCAGTTGCTTGTGCATTTTTCCTTTGCTGGTTACACATGGATTGGAGTGGCTGTCAATGTTTGGTTTTCACCCAAGTCCTACATCTATTTCTAAACCTAATCACAGTGCCCCCCCCCTCAGCTTTACTTAATATAGCAAACATCTCCCACATGGAAGAAAATATATTTGAGATATATTTTAAAAATATTCTTCCCAAATATATAGACATATATTTGAAATGCTACAATTTTGGCCGTATTCAATATATTTCAATGTTGAAATGAGTTTTAAAATGTTAAAAAAAATCTGAAGAATATATTTAAAAAAAAATATATTTTTCAAAATATATATTTTTTAAATATATTAATCAGATTTTTTGAAAAATCATGTCATGTTAACATATATTTTTACATATATTTGTAAATGCATTCCAAAAATGTAGATTTGTATTTTTAAAGATATACAGTATTTGAAATGTATTTTTAAAAATATTTTTCATATATTTTGTAATAAAATCAAATTTCAACATGCAGTAGTATATATATATATATAGACACACACACACACATATATATACAGTGTGTGTGTATATATATATATATATATATATATATATATATATATATATTATATTTATTTTTTAAATATATTGAATATAGCCAAAATTGTAGCATTTCAAATATATGTCAATATATTTGGAAAGAATATTTTTTAAATATATTTCAAATATATTTTTCTTCCATATGGGCTGCCTCAAAAGTGTGTGTGTGGGGGGTCTCTAATATCAAGAGTCTGAAATAAATTGGAACTTTGGAGCAAATCCATGTTTAGACCTATATAAACATTTACATTTAATACAGATATTTTGTTCAACTTTGATGTTGGCTGAAAGACATTGTAACATAAACAGCTGATATTATTAATAATATTAGCAGTAAAGGAAAAGGTGGGATAGCTCTCAGTCCCCCAAAACATCTCATATGTAGCAATTTCTGTTTGAATATATAAAAAGTTCATTTGTTTGCTTCTTAAAATAATACTAAAGTCTGCAGGTATTAAAAAAAACCTTCCCCGTGCAAGTTAAGGTCATTATGTGCTAGTATGCAATGTATACTAGCATATTCTGAAAAACGTACCTGTAAAAGGGATCCCTCCAGGGGGGCGCTGTCATCTTCACCCGGTCCTTCTTCTGGGTTTGCAGGTTCTGGCTGTTTGAATGGCTGAGCCACGCAGATGTCACTTCATCATGCGCACAGGAGCCATGATCACAGCACAGCACTGTTAATGGACGGCATACTTGAGTATGCTGTCTGTTCAGAGTGCAGTGTGCATGCACCAGTGACGTCACCAGCTGCTACAAACGTGAATATTTCCTAAACATTTCCTAAGGGGTGGCGCAGTAGCTTAGTGGTTAGCACTTCCACCTGGCAGTACTATTGGTTCAAATCCCAACCACAGCACCACCTGCTTGGAATTTGCATGTTCTCCCTGTGCCTGCATGGGTTTCCTCTGGGGTACTCTGGTTTCCTCCCACACTCCAAAGACATGCTGGTAGGTTAATTGGATCCTGTCTAAATTGTCCATAGTATGTGTATGTATGAATGTGAGTTAGGGACCTTAGATTCTACACCCCTTGAGGGGTAGGGACTGATGTGACTGTACAATATATATGTAAAGCACTGTGTAAATTGACAGTACTATATAAGTACCTGAAATAAATAAACTGTGCACATTTAGACGATATTCTTTGTATCTACAGGTAAGCTTAGCTGTAGATAAAATTGACCATGCAGTGTTTACTACAGCTTTAATTGCTCCAGTCACCAATGGTCTATTCAGTTATAGGTAAAAGATCAATGAAGTAATTTCCATTTAAAGTGAACCTGTAATTCACCAGTGTCCCCCAACCCATTCCACCCCTGCAGCTCTCTAAAATTCCAATGCAAATGTATGCAGGTCAAAGCATGCTCTCCACTTGCCCTTAAAGTGGTTATAAACCTCAGTCATGAAAGCCAAACAAAGCCATATACCTGGTGTTTGCTTGTTCTCTCCAAAGCACTGAGTGTCATTTTCCTCTGGTGCTTAGTTTCTGTTATAAGCATGTTTCACTTTTGACAAGTTGTCCTGACACCAGAGACAAAATGGTGACAGGGGAGGGAGCTCAGCACACAGCTGGTCTATTCACAATACAGCTCTGCATCATTCCTTTGTTCCTGTGCCCTGTGTGAAGGGGGTGTGTGCTCCTTTCAGGTCTCACAAACTCTACAAGAGCTCTAACTGCAGCTCCCCGCCCCACTCCTCTGTGATATTGACAGATGCAGAAGGATTTTACCTAAATTCAGCCCTTCTGAAGTGATGTAGAAAACAGATAAACAAGTAAAACTTATGGAAGAGTATTTGTTTCATCTGTATGTAGCATCTGAGGCCAGTCACTTCACTGGGTATATGAGAAGGTTTACAACCACTTTAATGTGACAATGATCCAGCCGATTGGACTTTCAGGCATGAAATGCTGATTTGCAGGGCTGAATGGACAGTCACATATTTATTGATACACATACATTTATAGGAGTACACAGGTGTACTGCCAGACTATTTGAAAGTTCACTATACAAAATAATAAAATAGTGGCTACATTATGGTATTACTGACCAAGCAGCAATCAGAATAAAGCAGTAAATTATTACAGCGGAAAATGGTGATATATGGTTGGCTGGGAAAAGGTAGGCTGGATCTATGATAAAGCAGCCAATCAAACAACAACAGTTAAAAGCCATTGGAATAGAAAATGTCTAACTGGCTGATGTAAGCAACATGCCAATTTTAATGAAACTGAAATGACAGGTGTTGCTCAAGGCTCTGCAGGGTCAGGGGCAGACTGACCATTCGAGCACTGCTCGAGGACCCAGGGTCAGTAGGGGGCCCCATGAAATGCCCCTGGTGCCTTTTAAGGTCTTTTTTGGGTGTGCATTGAGCGTGGGCAAGGACACAGGGGCCCCATGATCCCCTATTGCCCGGGGGGCCCCATGAGTTTTCAGTCCGCCCCTGTGCCGGGTCCTCTTATATCGCAACCGTTTGGAGTTCAAACAAAGACAGAGATTGTCCCAGTTCTAGACATCTAGTGCAAAAAGGGTAAAAGTCCTGGAAGTCGCACATCTCTGGAAAATCCTGTGGGAAGGTGTGTGGATAGCCTCGGCCGGGCTTGTGGGGGAAAGGGTTAATCACTTTTTCTTGTCTTATGCTACTTTTAATGATTCTGATTAGAGATGAGCGAATTATTCAAAAATTCGATTCGGCTGATTCGCCGAATTTGCGGGAGAAATTCGATTCAATGCGAATTTATTTGCTGCGAATTTAACTTATTAAAAGGGTTTTTAGGCTTCAGAGAGCCTTTATATTAGTGCAGAACACTGTACCTTTAATTTAAATGCCCTTGGAGTCTGCTGGGGAAGAGAAATAATACTGTCAGTCAGTATGACATGCAGATGAGTGCCGTCGATCTTAGAATCACCACACACTTCAACTCATTTTGGCAGTCACGGGGCACGACGAAGAAGAAGAAGAAGAAGAGAAGAAGAAGAAGAATGAAAAGAAGAATGAAAAGAAGAAGAAGAAGAATGAAAAGAAGAAGAAAAGAATGAAGAAGAAGAATGAAAAGAAGAAGAAGAAGAATGAAAAGAGAAGAATGAAAAGAAGAATGAAAGAAGAATGAAAAGAAGAATGAGAAGAATGAAAAGAAGAATGAAAAGAAGAAGAAGAAGAATGAAAAAAGAAGAAGAAGAATGAAAGAAGAAGAAAATGAGAAAGAAGAATGAAAAGAAGAATGAAAAGAAGAATGAGAAGAATGAAAAGAAGAAGAAGAAGAAGAAGAAGAATGAAAAAAGAAGAAGAAGAAGAATGAAAAGAAGAACGAAAAGAAGAAGAAGAATGAAAAGAAGAAGAAGAATGAAAAGAAGAATGAAAAGAAGAAGAAGAAGAATGAAAAGAAGAAAGAGAAGAAGAATGAAAAGAAGAATGAAAAGAAGAATGAGAAGAATGAAAAGAAGAATGAAAAGAAGAAGAAGCAGAATGAAAAGAAGAAGAAGAATGAAATGAAGAAGAAGAAGAAGAAGAATGAAAAGAAGAATGAAAAGAAGAAGAAGAAGAATGAAAAGAAGAAGAAGAAGAAGAAAAGAAGAATGAGAAGAAGAATGAAAAGAAGAATGAGAAGAAGAATGAGAAGAATGAAAAGAAGAATGAAAAGAAGAAGAAGAAGAAGACAAAAGAAGAAGAAGAAGAATGAAAAGAAGAATGAAAAGAAGAAGAAGAAGAAAAAGAAGAAGAAGAAGAATGAAAGAAGAATGAAAAGAAGAATGAAGAATGAAAAGAAGAAGAAGAAGAATGAAAAGAAGAAAGAAGAAGAATGAAAAGAAGAATGAAAAGAAGAATGAGAAGAAGAAGAAGAATGAAAAAAGAGAGAAGAATGAAAAGAAGAAGAAGAAGAATGAAAAGAAGAATGAAAGAAAAGAAGAAGAATGAAAAAGAATGAAAAGAAGAAGAATGAAAAAAGAAGAAGAAGAATGAAAAGAAGAATGAGAAGAAGAAGAAGAAGAATGAAAAGAAGAATGAAAAGAAGAATGAGAAGAATGAAAAAGAAGAAGAAGAAGAATGAAAAGAAGAATGAAAAGAAGAAGAAGAAGAATGAAAAGAAGAATGAAGAAGAAGAAGAAAATGAAAAGAAGAATGAAAAGAAGAAGAATGAAAAGAAGAAGAATCCCGAAAAGAAGAATGAAAAGAAGAAGAAGAATGAAAAGAAGAAGAAGAAGAATGAAAAAAGAAGAAGAAGAAGAATGAAAAAAGAAGAAGAAAGAAGAATTCAAGTACAGCAAAAAGTGTATCTGCAGAGAGCTCCGCTATTTCTGACAGTTCTCTGACAGTTCCTTCACATTTACAGCGGTTGAAACATTGTATCTATTTATTTCCGAATAAAAACATCTGTATCCTAAATGGAAACAAATAGATACAATGTTTCAACCGCTGTAAATGTGAAGGAACTGTCAGAGAACTGTCAGAAATAGCGGAGCTCTCTGCAGTGACACTTTTTGCCGGCTGATCGGGAAAAATTTGATTCGTGCATCCGAAGTTTGCTAAAATTCGGATTCGGTGCGAATCGAATTTTTCCTAATATTCGAAACGAATTCCACTTTGCCAAGTTCGATTCGCTCATCTCTAATTCTGATATATCAGCATTTAATTTCTCCCTCCCAGCTAGAGAACTTTGGTCTAATCAATACTGAATGTTTATTCTAGCCACTGTTTATTCAAATCTTTAATAGGTCATGACAGCCTGAACCGATTTCTCTAATATTAAGCTAGCTACAAGTATTGAAGTTTGATATCTGCAAACTACAGAAATTAGCTTAGTCTGTTACATATTAACAACTATTAGAATGAGATCATTTTATGGAATTTTCCTTGCTAATAATGCTTTGATTGGTTGAATTGATATTGGTTGTAATATTCTGATTGGATGGAGGGACATCCCTCCCTTAGTAACTGTTTGTATTTAATCCCATCACATGCTACCATTAAATGAGCACACGTAGAGCCTACCTGTCTTCTGGTCTTTATTGTGTGTTCCCAGAATTCTGAGGGGTCTCCCAGATCATCCGAGGGGCAAATTAACTCCTTCCTAGCAAGGCTCCAACCAGGCCATACCTCCCAATGCATTTCAGTTCTCCCCCGGAGGTTAGTCACCAAGGCTAAGCTCCAGGGGCAGAGCAAAGCGCATTGGGAGGCATGGACTGGTTGGAGCTCGGGCTGAGGCTGTCACACACACCTTCCCACAGGGTTTTGCAGATATGTGCCACTTCCAGGACTTTTACCCTTTTCCACTAGGTGCCAATTTTGTATTTCAATGTTTTTATTAATTTATAAACAGAAAGCAACAAAACATGCCCACGCAGGGGCTATCAATTGCACATAAAAAAAATAAATTAAAAAAAATTTTAAAAAACAGTGCTCTAACACCAGTAGAGCAAAAGGTGACTAGGTGCCAATTTTAACCTCTAATGCAAGCCATAGACGGGTCGAAAATGGGCTGATTTTTCGTCCGGAAAAAAAAAAATAGTCCGATTTTCGCACTGTTAATGGGTTAATTGGTCGGTCATTTTTTGGGGTTTTGACATATTTTTTTTATCGGTAAAGTTGGAAAAAGATTTTCCTGGCATTGATGGGCAAATCGGCCAATCGTTTACCGATACAAAATCTGCGCATGAGCCGTGACCTGCAAGAAGAAGAAGAAAAGAAGAAGAAAAAGAAGAAGAATTCCAGCCCGCTATTATATTTGACATGAAAAAGTCATACGGTTTCAACAATGTATCTATTTGTATCCAAATAAAAACATCTGTATCCGAAATGGATACAAATAGATACATTGTTGCAACCGCAAGACTTTATCATGTCAAATATAATAGCGGAACTTTCTGCAGGGACAGAAGTAATTAAATGTCGGCTGTAGATGGGACGAAAATCGGCCGATTTTTTTTACCGTTGGTGGTAACGTCGGCCCATTGAATGACCGATTTTTCATTTTTTTTTTTTTTTAAAATGGCCGGTTTTCGACCCATCTATGGCCTGCATAAGACAAACAGTATTGGCTAATTCAGTAGAAAAAAATATGTCAATTGCAGTAAAAATGAGGTTATACTTCAATGTAAACCATAATATTTAGTTTGCTAAAGTCCTGTTTATCATAAAAAATTGCCTTTTTTAAAAAAATAAAAAAAACTATTTTCATCTTGTTTTATCTTTTGTTGCATTTCAGTATTGCTGATTGTCTGCAGCCTCCATGCAGCCACTTTTTGTCTACTTGCATGGATCCCAGCAACGGAAGACAGGTTTACTGACAGTGACAAAAACAGACCAGTGTGTGCCGACTGTGTTGAAATGGCCACGTGTAGCCTCCATTTAAGCCTGTCAGGAAAAGGTAACAATGCAGACACACAACCAGGGGCGGACTGACAACTCATGGGGCCCCCGGGCAATAGGGGATCATGGGGCCCCTGTGTTCTTGCCCAAACTAAAAAAAAGCCTATGAAAAAGGTACCAGGGGCATCAAAAGCCCCCTACTGACCCCGGGCCCTCAGGCAGTGCCCGAGTTTCCAAATGGTCAGTCCGTCCCTGCACACAACTGGGAGACAGTGACAAAGCACTGTCCCTCTGAAACAGGAAATGCCTAAACAAGGACTCTTATGGCAGGATCATCGGATATTATTTTATTGAAAGCTGCAAATTTAAAAATAATGAAAATGACTTTTGAAATGACATTCTATATGCTAAAGCCTACAGTATATGAGGTTTTAGTGATCAGGTTTACATATATTTTAATGAGTTTTAAATAAAACCTTTTCTTTGCACTTGCTCTAATAAAAATGTTCCTTTGTATAATCCCTTCTATATCGGAGTAAGCATTTAACCATTTGCCCTCCAGAGGATTCACCCCCCTTCCTGACCAGGCCATTTTTTTGCGACACGGCGCTGTGTTACTTTAACTGACAATTGCGTCGTCATGCAACGTTGCATCCAAATAAAATGTATATCCTTTTTTTCCCCACAAATAGAGCTTTCTTTCGGTGGTATTTGATCCCCTTTACGGTTTTTTTATTTTTTCAGCTATAAAAAAAAAGACCGCCAATTTTGAAAAAAAAAAAAAATATTTTTGCCTTTTTGCTATAAAACATATCCAGTGAAAAAAAAATTTAAAAATCAAATTTCTTAATAACGTTTGGCCAAAATGTATTCTGCTACATGCAGTCCTTGTAGAGAATCTCCGTCCGGGACCCAGTGATTGACATCTGTAGCCGCCAATGGCAGTGCAGGTAGGCCGGTGAAAAATGCAAATCACGCTCCCTTTCGCATCATAAGCCCCTTCACATCAGAGTCCCAGTTTCCCATCAGAAACCCCCCATTGCATAAAAACCCTCCTTCCATCAGATTCCCACTTTTACATCAGGGTCTTTCTTTCACATTAGGATCTCCTTTTCACATCATAAGCCCCTTCACATCA